GTGGTGCTGGGGGATCGAACCGCGGTCCCTGATGCTTTTGCCAAGCTTGTTCTAAGTAGGTGCTTTAGACCACTGAGCCATCTCTCCAGCCCCATAGTAATTATATTTTATAAGTTATCTGCTTTCCATCAACAGTCTATGAAGAAATAATACTATAAAATCATCCCTAACACATCAAAATTTTATGATTCAATACAACTGTGAAAAATACTATTGAACAGAATTTTTAATCAGGGATCATCTTTAATAACGTCTCCTTAGGGGCCGGGGAGATGGCTTCAGTTCAATCCCCGGTTCTACCGAAAAAAAAAAAAAAAAAAAAAAAAAAACAAACCTCTCCTTTTAAGAGGCAGGAGAACTGTAGGTCTGGGCTCAGCCCAAGGGACTCAGTGTGTAATGAGACTCAGTCTCGGAGAGCAGCTCAGTGAGTGGGCCCTGGGTTCAAGCACCAGTACTACAGAAAACCAACCAACCAAACACACTGCAAGCGATCACACTGCTCTTCCCCACATTCTGCGACAGCAGTGTGCATGTCAGGTCACACCCCAGACAGGGCTTGCACTGAGTGCTGTGGGCCAGCACATGTGCCCCCTGCCTCCTGCCTGTCGGGGAAGGCTCTGCTCTAACAGGTTCCTGGGGGCCATAGCACCTATGCCTCGCTGCTGGGCAGCTCGACCCCCTGATGGTACATGCGTGGCCCACTGGGCAGCTTTTTAAATTAGTTTTAGCCTAAAGACTGATGAAAGTGGTGAGATGGGTCTGCACCACCGTGCACAGTGCAAGCTGTGAAACAAGTTCCGTCCCCCACCCCAACACCTGACTCCAAGCTCCTTGCAGGTGACTGTCACATACTCAGCCTTCTGTGTTCAAGCATAAGAACTATTCCCCCAAACCTAGAAAGGGGTACATTACTAATTCCTTTTATTTGCCAGCCTCTCCCAGAGCACCAATTTCATGGACAGAGAGCGAGCAGGCCAGCCAGAGCCTCTGCGCTGCATGGTGACCCTGTCGCTCCCCAGGGAGGGGCGCTGCACCACTGTCTGAAGAGCACATAAACATTTCTTACTGGCCATTTTTTCTGAACTCCCTTCTCAATGAAGATGATTCTCAAACGAGAACCAGTTGGTAGTGACCAGAGTTAGTGACCTCTAAAGTCACTGGAGGAGAGGGATCCACCCTGAAGGCAGAAGTACTGGGGCAGGACTCCACAGGCCAAGGCAGAGCAGCACTCTGAGGAGTGAGAGCAAGCCTGTCAGCAGAATTTCCAGGCCCGAGGACCACAGGAACTGAGGATCGAGGGCAGGACTGTTGAGTGACATGGTGTGAAGCCTCTCCATAGAAAAACCAGCTGAAGTCTGAGTGTTCAGATTCTGACAGGTGCCAATCACAGAGCAAAGAAACAGTTTTCCTCAGGAACAGCTTTGTTTGGCTGAGTGTTTCTGCACAGCAAACACACCACGCCCTGGGCAGCACGGCGGGCACATCAGGGCTTGTCCTGTGCAGCCAGCCAGGGACAGAAGCTTTCCAGCATAGTGTGGGCTTTCTGCGGGGAAGCAGCGACCCCAAGACCCAAGCCGAGGACGAAGACAGCCTCTGCCGCCACGTCAGCAACACATCCTCTGCACTCCTGACTTGGAAGATGCCTGAGGGTCACAGACACGCTGGAGGACCCCATGCCTGGACAGCCCCTAAGGCCACTGACACCCCACGCCCACTGCAGCTCCCCGCTCTCAGGCCTCTTCTGGCGAGGGGGCATGCCAGCATGACAACCTCTGGGTGCAGCTTCCCCGCAGATACAGTGTCTTGGGGATTCGAAAGCATGAGAAACGGCACGGCCGGCAGAGCAGGGCAGAGCCAGTACCAGCAAGCCTGCCTCGGCCATGCCCAAGTCTAGATCCAGGCAGCAGCCAGCGCCCAGTTTTCTTAAGAGCAGTGAACAAATGTAATTATATGGCAATAAAAGCTCCCAGATCTCAAAGAAATTCTCTTTTTCTCTAAGAAGGCAGAGGACCATTAATGGATACAACAAAAGACAACACATTTCAAAATCTGTTCAATTAATTAACACTAGTGAGGACAATCTGGCATGTTACTGCAGCTGTTTGTGGAAAATGGAACATTTTGCTTTTCTAACTGCTGATTTGTTCTAAAAAATAACTCCATTCTGTTTTATAGAAGCAAGGTGGCAAGTGGGAAGACAACTGCCAGCGAGCTGCGCGCCCGTGAGCACAGCCGGGTGCGTGAGCTGCTGGGCCCTTCCGCCCGTGCCGCTCCTCAGCCTGCAGGGGCGCGGGCCTAGCGCAGCATAGCCAAGCTGAAGCCTCCCTGACTCTTTTCTGTGCCGCAGGAGGGAAGCCAGGCTCATCCAGGGACCAACAAACTAAAAACCGCTGCCCTTGGCCTGACACAGCAGGTGCCCCATGCTGCAGGGCGGATAGGTAGGGGACGCTCTCCTCACCTGCCCTAGTCACCAAGGGCCCTGCAGCACAGCAGTGCCACACATGACTTCCGCTGCCCACGGAAGACAGCATTCCGCAGGCTCGGGCCACAGCCAGGTCTGCCCCACTGGGAGGTGGCTGCTAGGTCTGGGTTCTGGCAGTCACTCTCCCATCCTTTTCCACAATCACTTCTGAAATGACACACTTCTGTTTGTGATAAAATGTGTTATGCTGGGAAAATAGTGTAGACAGCTTCTTCATTGTTAATTAGCAAAGCTGAAGACCTAGATTTCAGCTGTGTTCCAGAAGTCGTGGTAAGGGACTGAAAGCATCCTCAAACACAGAGCTCACCGTGGAGTTCTGCACAGGAATGAGAATTCTTAGCAGGACAGTTACAGGGGAAGGAAGGGGAAATGACTGGCGTGGATGTTCTGTCCATGATGGAGCTTTACAATGCAGCCAGTCATATGGAGGCATTTGTGACAGTTTCTACTTTACTTCTTACCACGCAGATTTTCCAACTGGTCTGCTTTGGGCTTTCTGGTGTAGGCAGGTGTCTCCCTCACTTCCCCATCTCCACCCACACCTCGGGCTATCATATTTGACCAACTGTCACCTTTTTGTAGCAGATCACAGAAAAGCCAGCAGTGTGGATGGGTTACTCTGGTTTTTGGACGCCACTGAAATGCTTGGAGAATTCAAGGTGTCTTTCCTAAAGAGACGGCTTCTCAAGCCCATGACAGACAAACAGAGGCCTCCTAGACACTGCCTGGCCCTGCTCTTCCCCTCTCCACAGGACACAGGGACCTGCCACTGTATCCAGAGCTAGTGGGTGGCAGAGATGGGACAAGAGGCGGCTTCCCCAAGTCTGAGTCCATCTTCACTGTCTCCAAACTGAGGAGATTTTGTTTTTTACTTTCTGAAGTAAATCCACTTACTACCTCTCTTTCCAGAGGCTACCTATTTCAATGGCTTCCAAATTCACAGGTTGGTCTGAAAAGAGATGTCACAAGTGCCTCTTCCCAGCCCACATCACCTCTCTATGAAATGTTCACCAAATACCATGCCAACAGGGGTTAAAACACACTGGAGGCACTGAGAGCTAGTGGCAGACACAGAGGACAAACCAATGAACCAGAAGAATAATCAACAAAGAGAGGCACAGGTTAAGCATGCATGGGGTGGCTGAGCTGTGCTGCTCCTCAGCTGGTGGAGAGTAAGGGCTCTGCGGCCCAGAGCTGAAGAACCAGGAAGAGCGGTGTGAGCATGTGAGAATCTGCAGCAAAGCGCACCCCCAGCCCAGGGACAAGAAATGCCCCAGCCCCAGCCGCAGGGACGTGCAGAGGATCAAGGCGTGGCTGGAGAGGGGGTCGCTGTGGAAGATGGAGGGGAAGTGGCTGGAGAGGCAGGCAGGCCCTGCTCTGCCAGGGCCCAAAATCCAGGGGAATCTGCTGCGGCCACCATAAGGCCAGAAACTGAGGAATGAGGGCCTGAGTACAATCACGGCTCATCCAAATGCCAGCCCAGCACATGCTCCCAGGCACTGTGGACCGTTATGCCGCCATGTCCATGCTGGGGCCAGGGGCCAGGGCCCGTGTCCAGCGCTGCTGCACAGGCTTCCTCACAGCCTGGCTCCCAGTGCTCCTGCAATTCCAGCAACGGCACACGATCCCACTTCAACACACTGGCATCTCACAACTGAGCCCAGGCACCACTAGACTGGTGTGCCCAGCTCGTAGCTATGGCTGGCACTAACTATGGGACCTTGACAACTCAATTTTCTTTTGAATTTCAACTTCTGCACTTTCAAAATGAATGTTAACAACTCTTTAGCTTGTTATAAATCTAAAAGACAAAAAAGAGAAAAGTGGGGGGGACTTCCAGGAAGCACTAGTAACAGGGCTGTCCGGAGTGTCTCTACTGCAAAGCCAGGACCCCAGGTTGAGGCCTCGTAGCTCAGAAGAGGCCAGTCTGCTTTGCGATGCCTGCTCCATGGACTGGGACCACACATCTCACCATCTCACTGGCCACAGGGCATCAGCAGCACCAATCAATGAGCAGAGAGAAACGCAAGGAATGGAGGGAAAGGACAGAAGCCCAAGCACGAGGGCACTGCATGAGCCACAGGGCACACCCTGAAGAATTCTTTCATCTCAGTAGCACTCAAAGCCCAGCCTGCTCTCATTCCCAGATCGATGGCAGGCAAAGAGCGTGTCATGAGAATATCTACAAGTTGCATCTGGTAATTTCTTTTCTTAAAGGCCACTGCCTTACAGTATTTCCCACCACACAGGGCTGACACATTAGTGTATAATTTGAAAAGTGCATTGAGAAATCTATCTTCATAGATTTTTATTTAATTTATATGTATCAAAATTAAGAGCAAACAGAAGTATATCTTCAATGACTTTACTGTTTAATAAGAGAAAGCTAATTCAACAGTACTCTATTTAAAATGAATTTAAGAACTATTCAGCTAGGAGGAGCTCAGAGCCGGCACAACTCTCAGGACTGCGCGTGAGTGAGCTATGGCTGCCATCCACACTGCCCTTCAGGATCCTTCCAGCTGCTGTCAACAGAATCTACTGGACGGCAAAGAAGGCTAAAGACTCTAACGCAGGCTACGGCGTTTTCACAGGTCATTTTTTCTACCCAGAAAACTTGTCTTGTGCCTACCTTTTGATTTCCCTACTCAGAGCTCTGCCATCTTGGATGGACACAGTAAGTCACCACAGAAAGTTTTTACAATGGACTTTGACCTTGAAAAGACAGAACCCCTCTCACACAGGCTGTGTGTTTTCTTCAGTTATTTTAGAACACTATCAGTCACCATCTACTTACATTTTTCAGGTGGTGTTATTGTAATAGTCTGAGCTGTGAATTCTTCATCAAAATATCTGGTGTCTGTCTCAGATGTTACCTGAGGCTTAAAAGGAGGCACAAGCTGCACAAAAAAAGGAAAAGAGTGGTTAACAGATTCCAACTTGGGGAAATTCTGTTCTAGGTTAAAACTGGGGAAAGCAAACACCCAAGGCGAACTCGCTGTGTGAAGCAGACACGGCGACCGGCTTCTCCGTCAACAGTCTGAAGACAGCACAGCGCGGGCCTGCTTGTCCTGTACACAGTCAGTGAGAAGGAGCATGCAGAGTGGGAGAACCCTGGAAACTGCCTCATCTCTTTATGGTTAACAAAACACATGCAGCATCAACAGACATCCGTGACTGACAAAACATGGCCCTTCCTGGAGCAGCAAAGGCACCTCCCTGCTGCCTTTCCTGTCCTCTTGCTCAGCAGAAGGTTGAAATTACAAACACAAGAAAGAGTTTCCCCCTCCTTCATGGCTGGAGAGTGAATAAAAGACACTCTGCCAGTGAAGTACATCCCCAGCCCCTCTGTTTGCATTTAGAGGCAGGGTCTCATCTTCCAGCCGCAGCCTCCCAAGTGGCTGGTATTCCAGGTGCTACAACACCTGGCACGTAGGTCCACTTTAACAGTTACTCCTTTGGTCACAGATGGACAGCTGCTTTTGCTCTTCAAAAAAAGCTCTGCTTAACTGAGACAGCACTCGTGCCTGCTCTGCCTGGGAACAGAGACTCCCTGCAGCCTCTGAAGTTAGATGCAGAGTTTTTTCCAACATTTCCTGGATCCTCAAAGATGTCTGTAATTAGAAAAGATTTGGAGCAACTTCTCCAGGAGGGATAGGGATGTCCTTCTTTGGGAATCTCGCGTTGGGTGCAGGAAAGGGGGCCTAGTGGGGAAGGGAGCCCAGGTCCCAGGGGCTGCAGACACAGCACGCTTGCTTGGAGCACAGGGTGCCCAGCCAAGACCTGGAGTTGGAAAGACTGCTCTGCCTGGTGCTGCGCAGAACAGAATACAGCTGTCATGGTGCTAGGAAAGCAGCACACAGGCAGACAGAAACGCGCACATTTTATAGGAATTTTACAGAAACAGAAATACGGAACTGGTTTTAGATGACTGCATTCCCCACTCTCACTACTGCCAAATTCATGTTACATTAGGCAAACTGCCTTGAGATTAGTCTCTGGACAAAGAAAATATTTGAATTTAACCTACACACATTCCCCAAATTTCTTAAACTCATCTCTAGATTATTTAAAATGCCTAATAATGTATGAAGATATGCAAAAGAAAGTATTCTCTGGACAGATCACATTTCTAAAAGATGGGGGAGGACCAGCTAAAAGGCTGTTTTCAAAACAGAGACCCAACCGTAGCTTGTGGCACACTAAGGCCTCCTGGCTCCTCTCACCACTCCTGCCGCCGCCCTGGACAGCTATCCTGGCCTCCCGCGCTCTCTTGGCCCAGCCTGTGATCTGAGATGCTGCACCGTGGTGTGCTCTGCAGGGCCTCTAAACTCACATTCCCCTTGTGAATAACGACGCTGAGCACTTAAACAAGTTTATTTCCTCTCTGGTGAAATGTCTGCTGAACTTCTGACCATTTTTCTCCATACCATGATCTTTACAGTTGTTTTTTTCTTCTTTTTGCAGGTGTATTTGCACGTGCACATCCTTTGTCAGGCTTGTGACCTGTACATGTCCCTCCAGTTTATGACTTTTTGTTCTCTTCATAGTGCTTTTTTATCTTTTTTTCTGTACTTAGGACAGGGTCTCACTGTATAGATTGGTCTCCTAGTGATCCTCTTGTTCACAGCCTCCCAAGTGCCGGGATTACCACCCCCACACTCGCTGGCCAGGCCTCAAGCGCAGGGCCAGCATGGCAGGTGAGGGGATAGAACTCCAGGGCCTGCGTCTGCCCAAGCAGTCGCTTTAATCCGCTGGGCTATTTGGCTGGCCCTTATAGCGCTTTTGAAGAAAGTAAGTTCTTCATTTTGATGAAGTCTAACTTACCAGATTCTCTTCTTGTGGACATGGTTTTACTCTTATTAAGAAGTGGTTTTGGGGCCAGGGAGATGGCTCAGTTGAATAAGCGCTTCCCTGGAAAGCGCAAGGGCCTGAGTTCAATCCCTGGTTCCACCAAAAAAAAAAAAAAAAAAAAAAGAAAGTGGTTTTATAATTTAATACCACCAAAGCTTTTCTCAGTGACTTTCTGTCAGCAGCTTTATATCTTAGGATTCTGATACATTTTAGGACTCTGATATATATTTGGTTAATATATGATGGGGAATTTCCCCCCATTTGAATGCTGAACTTAGTACTGTACAGTGAACTAAATTTAAAATGTCACTGTCCTTGTACTGAAAGTCAACTGACCATACAGTAAGTCCTAAACCATACAGTAAGTGTAGGTCCTCCACTTTTGTTATTTTTTAAAGTTATTTTATCTACTCTAGAAACTTTGCACTTATGAATTTATAATCAACCTGTCAATTTCTACAATATAGCCTGTTGGGACTTGATCAACACTGTGCTGAATTCATATTAATAAACACAGTATTTATTTCAATTTAGAAATAAACAACTTTAAAGTATCCAGGCTTCTAATCCACACATGTATCTCTCCACTTATTCACATCATCAATAATTTCTCTCCACAATATTTTTTTTGAGTTTTCACTGTAAAGGTTTTTCATGTCTTCTGGCAGACATATAAGTACTTCTATTATTATTATTATTGCTATTGAAAAATGGTATTTTTCTGTTACAGCTTATTAAAATTATATTTTGCAATCTTGCATCAAACAGCAAATTGATTAAAAAAAATCTAACAGTAGCTTCCATTAGATTTTCTACCTACTGATACATACACACACACACACACACACACACACACA